ATTGAAGGAGAAGTTATGTTTTTGGATAAGACTCTATAATTTGCAACAGTAAATTAAAATAAAATTTTGTATTAATGGATAGATTATTACTATAAGTATTATATATTGTTGGAAAGTTTGTTGAATCTACTTTCTAATGAAATAAATAGAAGTCAAATTTGAGTTTTTTATGGAGAGTTATTTAATTTTTATTTAAGGATATGCATGCTATAAGGTAGTAGCATTAGGGTTGAATTTCAAAAATTATTTTAATTTTTATACAAGGATTTACAGATTCAACCATATATGTTTGGAAAGTTTATTAAGTTTTCTTTCCACCGAAACAAGTGGAATTGAATTTGAAGTTTCTTATGAATTAATATGTAATTTTTATTAGAAGATATATAGGCTGTCTAGTAGTAGCATATGACGTAGATTTCAAAAATTATTATAATTAATCCACAAGAAATTACGAAGTGGGTCATATATGGTTAGAAAGCTTATCAAATCTAATTTCTAATGCATTAAAGAGATCTTAATTCTGAGTTGGATATCTTGATGGTTGTTTTAATGAAATGAGCTCAAGCTATCAATATTAATTAATTGAGTTAACCCTTGTTTAACTTAATTATTTTTTGTATCATTGGTCTTGAAATAGGTTGATTAATTTTTATTATATTGAAATTATCTTGAATAGATCATTAATTATTTTGAGAGAAAAACTAAGTGGTGAAATCAAAAGGAGGTAAGTAAACTCTCATACACTTTACTTGTTTTTAAATATATATATGTATGTTTTTAAATGAATAAACGTTTTATTTCTTTATTTTCGATATATGAAAATAGAATTAAGCATATGATTATTTTGTGTTTTTACTGTATAAATGATGGATCATGCTGATGAATGAAATGAAAAAATAATTTATGCTTAAGGAACGATTTTATGATAATTACGTTTTTATATCTCTGATAAGTGGAATCATCGACACCATAACTAATTTTATGACCATGGCTAACAGGTTATAGTAGTTAACATAGCCATGATCATACAACCTTGTTAATGGATTATAGTAGTTAGCGTAAGGTTTTGGTTAGCGGATTATAATAGTTAACAATGATCATGATAATGAAATTATCGATATGATTAATGTCATAGATTATAGTAGTGACCGTAGCTAACGATAAACTAATGATAATGATAATTTATAATAACGATGATGATGATTTTTTAAAAATTGATCCATGATTTATATATGGAGATGATTTATAATGATTTTCAAATATTGATTAATGATTTGTTTGATTACGATATTTGAATAACATCATATTTGTAATTATTTATGAATTGACATATTTTGTTATTGATTTATAATTTATAAAATTTTTGATAAAATGATGATTTTTGAAATGTTTTGACATTATGATTTAACGAATGTCTTGAATGATCTATATGTATATATGAAAACAATACTTGATCTAGTAAAGTGTGTGAGCCTATACTTACTGAGCTATGATTTACTTATTTTCTTTTTACTTTTTTTTTACAGATGAGTAAATGATAAATTTGCTTAGTTTTATGAAAAGCTAGAAAATTGGTTTGAAAAAATTACTCGAACATTGGAGATGATGTTAGCCAATGAGATATTATGAAACGATTTTATATTTTTATATGGTTTATATTTGGATATATAAAAATATATCATTAGTTGAAATAAATATATAAATTTTATTTAACAAATTATATCAATTTATTAAAAAATTTTAAAATAATTAAAAATAATTATATTATTTTAAATTTTTTTTTTAAGATAACATGATCATATTACATTTTAATCTCCAAACATAACACTTTATATATAAGCAAAACTAGAAAATTACATCCATAAAATATCGGTAATTTTGGTACATGAATATACTATAAATAACTAATCGCATATCAATCATTACATTCTACGGAGACCCACTGTACATGCTGCAACTATAGCTGATTAATAATTATAGAGTACATGCAGAAACTAGCAAAAGATAGCCCTAATATCATTTAAAAGCTTCAAGGACCTCATAGATGTAACGTAATCAAATTCACTGAAAGCCATGTCAAAGAGAAGTGGCAAACATCTAAACAATTAGATTTTTGTAGCGATCTAGTTATTCCTACAAACAATGCGCTGTCTGCCACATGACTTCAGAAACAATTCAATACGAAGTACCCTCGTGGACTTGGCACCAGAAACAGAAGTTTGTAAAAACACCATTAGAATAAAGGCAAAAATCTCTGAAAATGGAAAGTAATGTCCCAGTAAAAAAAGGCAATACGCTTAATCAATTCAATCATATGCAGAACAGTGCAGTCATCACTCACAACAATGTTTGGATGTGAAAGATTATTGACAAGCATCATTTCTTTCTCAAGCTTCCTGGCATGAGCGTACTTACATAAGAATAAGCGAATCGAGGTGAGTCATGTTATGACAATTCCTCGTTAACTTCACAACCAGCCAAATTAATACCAATTATCATAAGTTGTAATAATATCGAAAATAAAAATTATAAAAAAATCAGGAAAAGAATAAGAATCTTGATAACTATTGGAGTACAGAAAAGCTTCCCTACAATCCAACACAATAGCTATTATAAACCTAATCCACAAATATGGGTCCAAACAACAAAATATAAATAGAAAATTAATGGGAAAAGCCCGTTGCCTTTCTTCTTTCATTTTCTATTTTTTTGTTCTTCTTGGCTTTCTTGCTTTATGCTTTCTTGTTCATCTCCTCAGCTTTCTTGGCCTTCTTCTTGGGTTTCTCAGCCTTTTTTTGTTGTTCTTTTCTTGTTGTACCTTCTTTTTTGCGATCTCGGTTACTTCTTTTTTCCCTTTCTCTCTTGCACACAGTAGGATTATGAGCAAAAAACTCAGTGACACTATTGAATGTTTTATTAGATGTGGGACAAATCTTATTTCTTCCTATACTTTGTTTTTTCCGTCTGTTATAGTTGATTTGGAGAATGAGAGAATGGGTTGGGTAGATGTAGAGATATAGAAGTAATGTTAGCGCAATACATGTGAATATCTCTGTTTTGAATGTTAGTTAAATGTGTTACATATGTTAAAACGTAATTAACTAAATAAGTTGGATTAGTTATGGGTGATTAGTTTGTAGCGTGAATGGCTTGGATACAGACATTTTCTTTTTCTTCATCTTGGTTTTCAAAATCAACGGTTTGGACACAGATATTTTCTTCATCTTCATCTTAGTCCCCAAAATCAAGGGCTTGGGTATATACATTTTCTTGTTTTACATTTTAGTCCCAAAATCAACGACTTTAGATACAAAAATTTTCTTCTTCATCTTCCCACTTATATATTTTCCTTAAAAAAAAAAACATTAACAGCATACTCTTCACCAATTTAAGTTTTTAAATTACTAAGCACTTGTATTGCTAAACTGTTGCATCAATAGCTGAGATTAAGCCAAGTGAATGACTATCTTAAAGTGCAAGATTACATGAAAATTATATCAGAGTCCTAACTCCACTTCCTTATATCTAAGAAAATTGAGTAATTATATTAATTAATTAAATTATGATTTGTGCGATTTATAGATTAAATTTATCTATTTAAATTTGTGTGAACGCGTAAATCAATATTATTTAATTTACTTGCCTTAATGTATATATAAAATACAAATCCTAATAAGATTAAAATTTTTTAATTAAAAATTGTTAAAATTCAAAATACAAGATAAATAAATATTTGAGGAAGAATTCTCTATCCCCACAAGATCAACAAACAGGAGCAAGAAGTGACCAAAAGTCTCAGCTGCTTCCAAGCTGCGTAGATCATTTTCGCCTTCTGGATTTGATAACAGATGGTGTGCTCCATTGACGAGAAGAAAAGGTTTGCAAAAAAGTGATGGACTGATGAGGGGACTGAAACAATTTCCAGTTGACTTTCTTTTAATTTGGTTTTTAAATTAGATAAATAAATTAATTAAATTTCATGTTTGATCCAATTCGAGCTAAACCTTTCAAAAAATTTTTATTTAATTTAAAAAACCCCAAACCATGAGTTTAGATTTTCAAGTAATTTTTAATTTCTTAATTCGAATGTAACCTTAATTTAGAATTATTAAATCTAAATTCACCATTTCAAATTAAAAAAAAAAAAACTCCTTATGAGTGATGATTTTATAGAAGCAACTATCACTTTAAATTTTTGTAAAAAAAAAAAAAAAAGTTACTACTACTTTACATTTAGAATTAGTATTTTGAAAAAAAAAAAATTAATCACATGTGTTAGAATTAAACTGAAAGTAATTCGAAGTTAATAATAAAGACAAGCACAAAAAAAAAAAAAACGTTTATCACAGTATCAAATAACAAAAAAAAAATCATGAACAAAATAAATTATAGTATTCCCTTGAAGAATTTGGCACCCTTTTCATTGAACAAGATTTGTACTGTCTAGGATGTGTTACAACAATCTTCCAATGTTCATCAGGGTGCCTAAGATTCCTAGGAATCCATCTCCATTTCTTTCTCCTCCAATTCATGTGCACATTCAACCAACAATATTGCTGCAATTTCTCAGGCATTGCATCACAAACTTGCCACCATTTCTCGTGAGCTTTATCACTAGCAAAAATTTGTGTTTCTTTAATGTCCCAATTACAATCATAATCCCTGTAACACATCCACGGCTTCAACCCCAGATAATGTATTGCAGAAACCAATGCCATTCCTTATCTCAAAGGCCGACTGAGGAATTTGGGATCTTACATCATCCCAAATTTGAATACATATTCACTTCCTATTGAGAGCAAATGGTGTGAATTAAAAGAAAAGAAAATGGCCACCATGAAAGGTTCCAACATTTTGAGGACTATAAAAAAGTTCCAATTAAGATATGATTACAATTAGGCAATCACTTTCGTCCTTTTAGGTCTATAATGAATCAAGGAAATTTGGTTGGATCATGACCAACAAAGAGAATTTTTAAGTTCACAAATTTGGAATATCATTATTACCAATTGGAGCAAATGCTACTTCAATTAGGTTCAAGAAAGGCGTTTATGTTGCTCTTTTTTTCTGTCACTTTGTTTAGTGGAATCTTACTAGAAAAGAACTAAGACATTAGATATTAGTTGATTCACTTTGTCATTAAATTCTACTTCAAATCAACTGACCATGAAACATAAAAGTGAGTATCTAGTTCGCAGGTTTTGTCATTGTTCTAACTCAAGGAGAAGGGACTTCTGTTGGAACAAATTGACACATTCATTGAATTTATCAGATTCCGAAATTGTGAGATCAGAAGTTAAATTCATCAGGTCCAATTTCTAAACCTTTAATCTTCCTTGTGCTGCTGCTTCTTCAACAGTTTTATAGCTTCCTGAGATGTGATGGATGGTGGAAACTTTGGTTTCAGGATTGGTTTATTCCCTGCATCAACCAGGAGACTCTTTTAGTGTAAATTTGCAGGGATAACTTGGGTGCTCTGCCTTGCTCTTTTTCCTTCTAATCAGCATATGTTTCCTTTTCTTCTTCTGCCGCAGATATACTTCCCATGCCGCTACTATGCTATTCCTGGGTGCTTCTGGTCTCTGAGGAAAAGGATGATTCAAAGGCCTGAATAATAGCAAACCCGATCTTGCCCACCAGGAATGAAGTTCTTTAATTTATTTCCGAATTATTGTTAAGTATGTTCCTTCGTTACCTTTCCTGAAAGAAAAGAACAAAACTAATAAAACTACAAACAAAATTTCACAAAAATAAAGCTGAGATGAACCATAAGCTTATCTCCATTTGTTCAATTTGCAGCTTTGATTAAAAATGGCAACATCGATGGGTAAAGGCAAGGCAGTTGAGTCTGATCCTTATATTGCTTTAGGATTAGATGAGTCTGGTAATTGGGTTCCTGGAGCTCCCAGAGTTTTGTCACTTCTGTCTTCTGTTCTTGAAAGGTCCATTCAAAGGAATGAAAAATTACTCCAAGGATCGAAAAGGAAGGATGTTGTTACCATATTCCATGGTTCAAAGCCACCTGCCTTGAGCATTGGACAGTATATCGAACGCATCTTCAAGTACTGTAAATGCAGCAATTCTTGCTTTGTTGTTGCCATCATATATATTGACAGATTCCTGCAACGAATGGATGCTTACCTTACTTCACTCAACGTGCATCGTCTCCTGATTACAAGTGTTATGGTGGCTGCAAAATTTATGGATGACCAGTAAGTGAAGTTACTAGAATAAAACATGTTTCCATTTCTTAGGCTTCTGTCTCTGATGTTTTCAATGTATTGAATTCTATCTAAACATGAAATTTTATTTTCCTTTCATGTGTTTTGGTTGTTCTCAGGTCTTAATTTTATAGAAAATAATCAGTCGGTTGCTTGCAAACTGCAATACCCTTGTTTCATCATCACTTTTAACTTTGTAACATGGGGTTTCTGTAATCTACAATTATGTCTTTCTAGGTTTCTTTTCCTCATCATCAATTTAATACATTTTCTCATTTCTTGACCAAAACTATCCGAGTATTTGATGATTTTTCCCGTATAAATATTAATATTTACTGAGATTGAACCTGAGACATCAAAATTCCCAAACCTAATACTGATCATTGAGACAAGGTCTCATTGGTAATTTAACAGCTTAACTTAATTAATCTATGATTTTTTTAGTTTTTTTTACTGTCAAATTGTGTTTACCCAATGATTCAGGCTGTGTGCAGGTGTTATAACAATGCATATTACGCCAAAGTGGGAGGAGTTAGCACAGAAGAAATGAACGGATTGGAGATGAAATTCTTATTCAGTTTGGATTTTAGACTTCATGTCACAACCGAGGTCTTCAATAAGTATTGCTTGAAGATGGAAAGAGAAGGTGATGTAGGCTACCAAACCGATCAGAAAATTCATGGCTACCGGCCGAATAAAGATGACCGCAAACTGCCCGTCATGGAGGCAGAGACCACCACACAACAAAACAATAAGCATTGCAACAAAATGATGAAAAATCTGTAGCAAAATTTTTTATTGCACAATCCTTGCACGATAACTCTGTTCAATCATTTTCTCTCTTAGAATGACAGTACGCTCTTGCAGTTTCTTTCTTTTCTACAGACAAGGATTTTCAATATAACCCAGAAAAGTGGGTCGCTGAAATTTGATAAAGCATGACACAGTTGTTTCTAAGAAAGCAAAACCATATTAGTGTCTCAAAGATCGGAAATTCTTCATCCCTCAACTGGAGGCACTTTTCCTTGCAGCATATATGCGATAAGCTGCCAATCCAACAATGGCCACAGCAGCTCCAACTGCAAAACATTGAAAATGATCAACAGTTCTGGCACAGTGACCATTAATAAAAATAAAGAGGGAAGTTCCAAGAATGGAAACTGAAAAAAGAAAGAGCAGTGACATGCAAATCAAAGCAACTTTGAAGCGATACAAGTAGTATACTAGTACCATCTCCAAGAAAAGCACGGCATCCCTTCAAAGGAATAGCATGCCAAAGTGACTTAATAAATAAATCCAATATAGGCTTAAACAGAATCATAACTAGATCTTGTCAAGGATTAAAGGGCACACATTGTATGCAAGTAGACAAAGGCAAAGACAGGCACATTAGTAATTACTCCCGCCCTCATGGCAGGGAGAGAATGAGAAAATTAAAAGATGTGCATGGCAACAAGTCATCAGAAAATCTATTCTAACCATAGTAAACAATATTTTAAAGAACCCCATGCTTCAAGTGCATTGAGAATAAAACAGTTGTTGGATGCTGGACTATCAGCATACCTGAAACAAACATGAGAGATCGGTTTATGAGCCGATGGTACTGCTTCCGGCTTCTCCCAGCCTCAGTTTCAGGAATGCTCAAGTGAGGATGCTCAGCTGCATTTACTATCCTTCCGAATATGTTATTGAAATCACTCAATTTTGAGCTGATAGGTATAGGTGCCTCTATCCCCATATCCTGGCTAACCTGCAAAAGCAAATTTACACCAAAATACATTTCCACTCCAGTTCTTCAAGATGAAAATTCTGAAGGACTTGTTCTACAATTATCCTATTGCAGTGAGACCAACAGTGACATGAACAAACACAGTACCTCTTCAAGGACTTGAACAAAAAAATTTTGCATTTTATGACTCCTCTAAGACATTCTACCTATTCACTTAACCATGAAAGAAAATTGAATTATTAAAAAAAAACTAAAGAACAATACCCTGGTAGAATCCTGTATTGCCATTGGAAATGAATCCAGATCATCTTTAGCAGCAACAATGAGGCATGGCACCTCATAACCAGTGTCTTCACCATGACCAGCGACATCCACCAGCAATTCAGCTGCTCTCTTCCATGAAGACTCATCAGAACTGCAAAGGCCAGACAATCATGACATGGCACTTAGCAAAAGAAACAAATAGCATGTGCATATGCATCTAAATAAATTTTTACAAAATTCAACAATGGAACAAAAATATATATTATCTTTAGTTGCCACAAAAAACAGTACATTCCAAGCACATGAGAGAGCAACCTTTTGCACAAATATGATCACATAACTGAAAATGTTTAACTAGCAATAGAAGATACCCCTGAATTCAAAATCCTATTTCAAAATAATCATGCTCTTGATTTACCTGTCATGAACAAATACTGCTATGTCACAGGCAGCCAATGACTCTTTACCAGACAGCAGTTTTGCAACTCCATCTTCAGGGATTTCTCGCAAGACTAGAGTTTTTTTTATTCCCTACAAATGAAAAAAAAAAATACACTAAGCCCAAGAGCTGAAATGTCAACACATCAAAGCAACACCGAAGTTAACTGAAGCTCAAATCTTATCAACCTAGATATATATAGTGATTGCTATTATAACAAAATGCTCAAAAGGATATGCCAAGGAAACGATAAGTTTTACGTGCAAAAGTTCCAAAAAGGAATTGTGTTGACGGTTCTTCATCTCAAAGAAAGTACAGTCTTCAAATACTATTTCACCTGAACCTTATTCAACATCTTTCTAGTATATCCATGACATATGGTCTAGACTCCAGAACAGCAAGAAATGCAAACACATGAAAGTCCAAGTCACTTCTGCTGCAATCCCCAATCCCCCAAAATGACAAGAAAGTAGATCCCTGTGTTTTGAGGTGGGGGCTAGCTTTCAATATACAATCAAAAGACATGGTGTATAATTTAATGGCACTCACCCCAGGTAGTTCCACAGCATTCACAGCGTATTGCACATCAGTAGTTGGAGAATATGAATCAGAATAGGGCCTACATTACAGTAGATAAAGTTTAAAAAAGAAATTGGGGAAAAGAAAATTAGCTATCAGGAAAAGAAATTCTAATGAATACCTGCCAAGAAAAGAATTCATTAATGTGGATTTCCCAGCATTCGCTGGACCAAAAACAAAGCACTGGAAAACATTTCTTTCTGATTGTTGCTTCTTTCGATCTAGACGCCTTCTCCTACTGACGCGGATGGCAGAGGAAGGATCACCAGGATATCCAATGCATATCAAATACTCCAAGCTACAAGCTGGGTCTAGGAGTGTCATAAGGGCCCACTGAAGCATACAACATAACTCATAACTTATGAGCACAGGCTGATCTATAATAGCAAAAATATGCAGTGACGATCCACATGTATGCAATAAAAAGTGCAGTACTACATTTTCATAAGCAGCCACAAATGTTTACAAAGGTGCTATTCATTATTCCCATAATCCGTTAATGGTTGGACTGTAAAACTCCAAACAAGGGCATGTCTGAGGTCTTCATAAGCCAATATGTGTAAAAGTTTCTTGTGACTTACAACGAGTTAATTATAATTAGATTAAACAAAGTATGGTATTCCCAATTTCAAGAGAGAGAAAACCATGAATACCTCTGACAAAAATGCATCAAGTGATAGCCCTCCCAATGCAGTTTTTTCTGCAGCATCCTTATATGGAGCATCACTCCAGGGACTGAAGTTAAACAGAAAAATGTCAAGCATTATCCACAACAATGTCGCATTAGCAACTTATAATAATAGAGATCATCTATATGTGCAAATTTTATAGTTACATGCAGCTTATTACAACAGTTTTTTCAAAATAAAAATCCCTCTTTTTCAGTAGGTGAAGATTTTTTTACTAGTCTTTTTAATCAGCAGCAGCCTGTTATCCTGCTTTTTTGGGGACCAAAAACTGGTATGCTCCCACCCACCCCAACCCATCTCAGAGAAAATAAAAAAGGGGAAAAAGTTGAGACAGAAAAGACATCCTGTCCTTTAAATTTGCTTTCTCAATAGGGAACAAATAGCAATTTAGCAAAAGAAATTGACCTAATATTTTTCAAATTGGGAACCATAATACCTTCAGAACTTTCTCAATAGGGAACAAATTGCAATTTAGCAAAAGAAATTGACCTAATATATTTCCAATTGGGAACGGGAACCATAATACCTTTCTGGAGCAGTTGAAAAAACATCCTCAACTTCTATAGGCCGAAGGTTATTGTCCTGAAAAGAATAATATTCCAATTGTTAGAACTTCAAAAACTTTAAGAACAAGTTAAGCGTAGACTGGACAATGGAAATGGCAAGGAATATCAAATTAAAATAAATGCGGAAAAGACTAAGACATACTAAGTCACTGTCAAACAATTCATAGATTCCCTTCAGGAATTCAATAGCTTCATTTGTCAGCTCCACACTCTACATAAATGACAACAGAGCAAAGGAAAGCGTCATAATCAAAAGTTTAAATATGAAACAGTTGAGCATATATTATGAAAACATAGTATATTTATAAAAAAAAAAAAAGTATATTATGCCAATTTGAACAGGACAATTCATAACTCGTCTAATATCAGCCAATTTAGGCACTGTTCATCTTAAAACACAGATAGGCATTCCGTTGGCAACTGAATATAGAATTAATACGAATATTCATATCCAAACTCAGTGTTCATAAACAATTCAGCCCATAGCAGACAGAATTATAACCAATTCTTACTAATGACATATGGAAAATATTGCATGCAAACAATGATGTGTCAGACTATGCTAGTTGAAAATGAACAGCAAAGGAGTAACAGCTAGCTTTAAATGCTTATTTCAGTGCTTTCATAAAAAAGAGAATGTTTATTTCAATGAAGCATTACCTGATCAGGAGCTCGTTTAAATGAAGAATATGGAATTAGATCATCTGAAAGTTTGATATCATTGTCATATCCAAACTTTCTCAGGACAGTCCATGTTGTCTCAAGGCGTCCTTTTTCTATGAATAGTGCATGAAGAAATAGAAAACCAGTCAATGTAAGACCACGTTCATTTACTCCTTCAATCAACTTATCTTGCACAACCCGTTTCACACCAACTATTTCTGAAGGTTGTAATGGAGCATTGAAACATTTGACCTGTTTTGCAACAAATTATTAGATTATTCAACATCCACAAGCACAAGATATCTTAAGTTAACACTGAAAAAAGCTTGTTTCAAGTTTAAAAATATCAGCATTCCATAATCAAGCAGTGAATATGACAATCCTCATTCATGAAACAGTCAACCATCTCCCTACCTCATCCCAACCACCTCCAAAAGACTAACAAATCAAGGAACAGATGAGGAACCTGAAAATCGTTCAATTCTGCATCGCTAAGAGCACCATCCCTGTCATGATCACAGAGAATAAAAATTCTCTTCAAGGCTCTAACACACCGTGGCTTCAGAGTTTGTGATTCCTGATCAAATAATGGGCCTGTTGGATGAAGCACTGCCTTTTGTGCATAGTAGAAGACCTCAGGGATCTACCAAAAAGGAGATACTTTAAAAGTTCAATTTCTAAATGTATCAATGTGTTCTACAAATATCAATTAGTGTCATACAACTAACCACAATGATGCTAATTGTCACATACGTGCAAATAAGATCCAAATACATTCCAGAAGCAAAAAACAGGAAGCGGTGCTAAAACAATCTACATTTTATCAGCATGATTATAGCATTTGCATTTCATATTAA